AGATCCTGACCGCATATTCTTTACATGTTTTTTCACGGATGGATAATTGAAAAATAAATCGAAGCAATATCAGGAGATTAGGATTTGATTGATTGATTGTTTGATTGATTGATTGATTGATTGATTGATTGATTAATTGATTGATTGTATACATCAATTATTCTATAGAGAGTGTCTAAATTTGTCTATCAAAAGCGAAAGTTACGAAGCTTCAAATTTCATTAAAAAATATCGCAACGAATGTTCAACACACAGAGTCAATCCATTTTCATAGTAATACAATGTGATATTTATCGTTTTTATATTAATAAAATGTGATATATATCGATAACAGTAATAATTCCATAATATTTAAGTGACATTATTGCAATCTAAGAGTCTATAGCGATTGAATAGATGAGTCAATATAAGTTTTCATTTGCCATAATTTCTCTAAATTTTATCATTTACTTTGCAGGAAAGATAAATAACTCACGTGGCTCAAAGTATCCATCACAGTTTACCTGTAACGTTCAATTTAGAAAAAGACTTGGGCAGCCTTTTTATAATTAAGGCAACCTTATTTCTATTCTTAACATTTTCCAGTGTCAACTGTTGGTCGATCACCATTTTAACGGTCAACAATCTTTTGGAATATACTTGTATAGTCAATTCAGCTCATCTTCTCACTTTAATCTAAAGTATTGCCTTATATTATTTAAGACTAAAAGCTTGAGTCCAATTCATAAAATATTATAAAAAAGACAGCAAAGTTGTGTCCCTTGTATATGTAACTGTTATGGATCATAAAAGAGATTCAATGTAATGTTCTTGTAATGCCTCTAGTTTATTTATATATGTTTATCTTTTACCAAATGTTTGAACTTTTCGGTACCGTCATTCAAACCAAGCCTGCAGCATTTTCAAGTTTGCCGTTTTGGACTAGGGATTCTTGTTGTTTTGTTTTTCTATTTTGGCAATACGTTTCCAGCCATATAATAAAAAACAGATTTTTATAAATGGAAGTACTAAGATAGGATACAGAAGATGAACCTTTGATGTCAGGTCATTTACATGAAATATCAACGGAGAAATATTATGTAAGCCTTTATATTAAGAATCAAACAAAAAATGACTCAGCTAGACTTACCAAGAAGAAATGAAATCCAACCATTGACTCACCAGCTGCTGATGTTCAGTTAGAGCTGATTACATCTGATTTTGTTTATCAAATGCAGCAATACCAGTCATCATCAAATAACAAGTTTATTTTTGACACCAGTCGACATGTTGAAATATAAGAAACAGAAGCCGACCAAGGATCGACCCTTGTGGTACACCACATAATAAGAAAAAGAAGATGCATCCTATAATCGTCTTTATTAAAGATAAAACATATGAAACATTTAGATTTTTCGTACTCTGCTGATATTCTTTGTAAATCAGGTGGTCGAGCACTATAGGTGCAATTATATCTAAAATTCAGAATCATAAAGATATTGGCTTTAAAACATATACAAAAATGTATTACTCTTATGTTGTGCCTGTAACTGATTATTGTTCTTCAATATGGGGTTTCAAAAACTTCAAGAAACTAGATATTACTCAGCATAGAGCAATCAGATATTTTATGGGTGTACATAGATTTGCTTCGATACTAGCAATTACTGGTGATATGGGGTGGATTTGTGCTCAGCATAGACGTTGGGTTAATATACTGAGACTATGGAATAGACTTGTACATATGGAGGATGATAGACTCACAAAGAAAGTGTTTTTGTATGATTATACTACTGTTGGAAATACATGGTGTTCAGATGTTAAGCATATTCTACAGCAAGTAAATATGTCACATTTGTATGACAACAAACTTCCGGTTGATTTAAAGAATATCGAAGACTCTTTACTTTTACTATACAAATCAAATTGGTCTGACAATGTTACAAATGTGGCAAAACTGAGAACATATGATACATTCAAACAAGACTATGAAACAGAAAAATATCTGATGTCTTCCTTAACTAAAGCAGAAAGGTCCAATTTAGCTCAATTAAGATGCGGTATTCTTCCGCTCAAACTAGAAACAGGACGATACGTGAGATTACGTGTGTGTTGATGAAAGAATATGCACTCTTTGTACTGACAATGTTGTTGAGGATGAAACTCACTTTGTATTGAAATGCTCTAGGTACAACGATTTACGTGTTAATTTGATTTCTAAATGTAAAGAGAGTAGCAGTGACTTTGACAATATGTCTGATATTCAAAAACTAAGTTATGTGATACAAAATCAATATGTTAGCTCTGCAAAGTTTATTGTAGAAAGTATGAAAAGAAGAAAGTTATATCTTTATAAATGACCTGATGTTTTACATAATAACAATTTACTTGAGTGTATTGAATCATGTAAAAATCCCCAGACATATTTGAAAATAACAAGAAATATAACAACATCTTAACATTGTTTAGAATTTATGGCTTTTGAAATTTTGATATGCTTTGCTTGTTTACACAATTCTCATATATGGAATTTTGATGATTGACCACTGTATTTCCGATTAATTAATCATAGAATTTGCATATTATATCTGTACGTTATCTTTAGTTGCATCTCCTAAGGTTTTGGAATAATAATAATGTACAAAATGAACCATTCGTATCATAAATGTCATAGTCATCGTTACATTGGCGTACGTGGATATGCTCGTTTTTTTTTGTTTTGTTTTTTTAATTCTTGAGATTAAAGAAACGAAATGGAAATAAGTTTTCAAGATTAATGTTCCATTTTATGTAGGCCTAGACAAAAAACCTGTGTTCATACGTTCATTCCGTTTTTACTAGAACAATTACTCTAATGTGTGAAAAAATGACTTAAAATGAAAAGGGTGAAAAGGGAAGCATTTTCGGCTCAAATTGGACTAGACATAGCACAAAATACGTCTTTTAATTTATTTCTTGGTATATTTCTTAATTATCTTTTGCATACCTTTCAGTTTCAAGTGCCTTTAATACTTGCATGTTGATGTTGATGGTGCAACATTTTGAAACAATCATAATCATTCTTTGTATGTTTATAATCATAATGCCAAAGGAACAATAAAAATAAAAAATAATAAAAAATGTTTAAAATAACATGACTTATTAACCAGGTTTTCTATAATAAAAAAAACTCGGAAGGAGGGGTATTAAAAAGCCGGCAAACGGGCTTGATGCACTTGTTTTCGTGGGCAAGTCATACACTGTCAAGAAATTTCAAACAAACTTCCAATCAAGAGCCCAGGATTTTGCAAGGTTATTATTTTTGGCAGTTGTTTTTTCCCTCACATGTGTGGTATTGGCGGGACAATCTCGCATGTTTGGTATTGGAAGGACAATATACTGCCACTTTTTCCTCTTTTTTTATTTATTTCTTGTTTTCTTTTACCCTTGAAGATAATATTCAGATATTTTCATACTTCATTTCACTTGATATTGTATATATATTACAGACCACTTTGTTCAATTTTCTTTCTATTTTTTTTTCATCGTATATTCTCCTAATAAAGGGTTTGGCATTGAAAACATTGAAAAAAGTTTTAAACAACTAATGGCCAATCATGGTGTCTGTACTCCTGAATGATCCAACCATTGTTTGTGAACGTAGACGAATAAGAAGTGCATTGTTACATGGTGTAGGGGCTTATAAATTACTCATTCATAGTCTTTCAAATTGACTCACACTCAATCGTCACGTTTAATATAAAACAAAAATATGGGACTTTGAAGAGAAAACAAACTATCTTGATTGGTTTGGAGTACGGCTACCGGATTAAAAAATCAAAATGTGGTTTTGAGGTGTAATCATGCGACACAGTTATAGATAAAAAAACTTTTGATGTTTCAATTATTTAGCACCCGGACAACAAGTGATCTCGTCATTGTGACTTCCTAGTGTCACGACGATAAAATCATTTTTGTATATATCCTATTGACTAAAACAATTGACCTCTAGTTTCCATAAACATTTTTTCGTTTCCTCTGAATCATAATATATATATTGATATAGACCTAATTTTCTTATCTGAAAAAAAAATCAACCAAAAAACAACAATAAGTAAATGAGCGGTACGTGTCAAGTTGACAAAACACTTCATATGAAAATATTCGGTTGAAAAAATAGATGTTTTGTTTTAGTGTTAAGTAAAGACGAACTTTATTTCGTGTCAGTAAGATATGCACGTACAATTAATATTATATTTATCAAACAAATACTATATTGACAAGTATACATGTATATTAACAAATAAACATCAAACATGTACTTGTAATTCTTAAACTTTATAAATAACATCAATATTTATGAAATCATTACAACTTTGTCTTTTTCACACATACGGCCAGTTTTGATTCCTTTTTCTTTCTTTCTTTTTTGTAATATTAACACTTATAAATTTTGATGTTTCCTGCATCTTATGAAATCATCAATAAACACTTTTACTATTTACAGGAAAGAAATTTACATAAATCGTTGAGTTCCTTTTTCAGTCCTGTTTGATATCATGTTGTTGTACATAAAAGTATATGTTTGAAATATATGAAATAAAAACTGTCTAAACTAACAGCTGTTAAATTGTGAGGAGTCACTTTTGATTCTTATAAAAATACTCCTCTTTACATTGTGTCAACTAACTAACTCACTCAGTCAGTCAGTCAGGCAGTCACTCACTTGCTCACACACTCGCTCACTCACTCACACTCACTCACTCACACTCACTCATTCACTAAATTTAACAGAAAACGAACAATTTCAGTTTACGTTCTTATTCCACTTCCTATTTAAACATGATTGAATTTTGTGAATTTTTTATATACAACACAATTAATATCTTATACAAATATTAGGACAGTACATCTATAAACGAGATAAACGATAAGAATAAGTTCCATTTAAATGAAATAAGCAACAAAAAAAAAAAAAACATAACAAATCCGGGTTATTTAACTTTTAATTGTTTTTGATTGAGGTAGATATAAATCTGTATAAATCAAAGCCCGCGGGAATAGGGAAACACCTTCACAATCAGTGAATCAGGAGATGCATCCGCTAGGATACCTGATGATTTCATTCTCTCAAACGGTAAAGTTTTCTTGGATATAATTACGAAGTAAATAGATGTTAAGACAATAGAAACTGCACCCATTATTTACAGGTTTTTCTCAGGAAAGTTTATAGTGACCTGCAAAATAGAAATGAATCATTATTTGGTTTTTTTTCTGTCTTAAAAAGAAAACAGTTAAAATGTACGATCTTTTTTAAATAAGAATAAGCGACTTGTCAATTAGGAAATCTGCATGTTAAAAATACGGTGTTAGAAAAGTACTTGAATCAGATTTTAAATATTTGAATCACAAATCATTGTGCGCTTGTTATTAATAATACATTGACAATAATAGCATTTACTTCTAATTTGCATCATTGTGTGCAAGCACCTCAACTTTATATCTTTTTTATTTGGGTTTTAAGTTGTACCAACACAGTATAGGTCATATGGTGACTGTCCAGCTTTACAGATGGAGGAAGACCTCAGGTGACCCTCTGTGCGTTACTGCGGGCACAAACCGGCACCCGAGTAGAACCACCGACGTTCCGTAAGCTAGTTGGTAGCTTTCTCACATGAAATAATCCGAATCTGAAAACGCTTGCGCGGGTAGAAACTACAAAGGTGAGTGGCAAGCGGTTTGGACTCAACAACCTTAACTAACGGACGCCCCCTTATATTTATCTGGGTCTACTAATTTTAAAGCTGTCAAAATTCTATCAACATTTACATTCTAATTAACTTAAAACACCGGCTTACCGTTTTTATCTCTGTATATTCATGTAATGCATATTCGCCCCTGAAATAAACATAGAATAATATAAACATATATGTCGGTAGACATGTCTGAATTATCTGCCCCTGGCAAAATAATATATGAGGCTGCGATGAGAACCAGAGTACAGTAATATTTCACTTATTGCTCACAGGTCTCTTAAAAAAGAAGTTCATGTACGTGATTATAATAAAAATCCACAACCTAGTGATCGCGTGTGAGGTCTATGCTACTAGTTTAGCGCCAGCTAGGCCACCTTGCACCACAAAACTGTAAACTTTTAGCCTGCATTTTGATATTAAAATTCTTTTACATCTAATGATCTGTTCTATATTCAAGGAAAGTGAAATGAAACATAAAAATATACGAGGAAAACTAATGACATAACTAAGTTTCTAGCATCAACACAATTTAGGTCACATGGCACCGAAACAGGAAAGATGATTTTCGGTTAAAAAACTTAATGCAACATCAGGGGTCAAAACCGCCTCACCTGTTGGAGCTAAGAGATGCATAGACTCCAGTTACTTGAACCCATTTACGACCACGCAGGGATAAAATTAATGGTGACTGCAATTCTAATGTCTCAACCTGTTAAGGCAACCCCTCGGGCACAAGGGGATATAATAATTAAACTCCCTACATAAATTGTATATCCTCAGAAACATTATCCGGTGATACAAAAGCAAAATATGTATGTCCATTATCTTTTGAAAGATAACAAGATTATAATTCATTAATTATATCAAAAGAAAAGAAGTCTTTTTAATCTATTGTCTAAAAATGCATACTTTGGGCTATTGAATACCATGTATTGTATAAACATGATACGCCTTTTATTCACTATGTAACTTACAGTTCTCTTCCATGACCACTCTGTTTGAAACCTCCAAACGGCGTCTGTGCCTTCAGTATATCGTAACAATTTACCCTAAAATACAAATATAGTTGTAGCATTACCGCAAAATGAAAACTCATGTCTTTTATTTAAATTGTTTAATAGATATTTCTTCATCGTTATCCAAATAATTTGCGACAAACCTAGTGGCTGTATTTCGTTCTTTATTGACCTTGTTTGGACAAAATGAGACATGTTTATAACAGATTCAATGTCACATTTGAACAGAGTCTGGTTCTCTGTCTCATATACTTTGATAATGTAGATCCAGGCTAGATTTGAAGAATATTGTTATTAAATAGTTAGTAATGTCAAGGGAACATTTTGCGTAACATAAAAATGCTTAATGAATAGAAAGAAACCAAGATTGCAGCAAAATTGAACTATCTGTACCAAACGCTTCCAGCCTCTAAGTTTTGTGACATCATCAATGCTTTATTAATATCTTTCGTCATTACACCTGCTGCCAGACCATATTTAGAATCATTTGCACGTTCTATGACGTCATTGATATCTGTAAACTTGATAATGGACTGCACTGGGCCAAAAATCTGAAATATATCATGATACATAATAAGTAGATCTAAATTTTAGTCAGGTTGTAGTTTATAAGACATTAACATTTTGAATACCTCAAAAATCCTCGTTTCAGAATTTCGTATTAGAAACAACCTTTCCACATTTCGACAAATGTATTGAAATTTTTTATAAAAAATCTATATTTTTTC